TTTAGAGCGTTCTCTATTGCCTGTGGGGAGGGCAGGCTCTGCGGAGTCCGGAGCCCGTGTGTCCCCCAGGGTGCACACTGGGTCGCCTGGCACCTTCTATGAGAACTGAGTACGGGTGGCGTTGATGAGGCGGCGTTGAAGATGCATGGCGTGGGTCAGTTCCTTCTCAAGGTCCAGAGCTGCAAGCAGCCGGACAGAAGTGGTGCTCAGGACAGGAGTGCTCCCCGCCTGCTAGCTCACGGCGCTGTCTGTCTGCTAACTCACGGAGCTCTCGACAGCCTGCGTCTCCTGGGCACATGGAGAACTTGGAAGCCGGGCTGCTCACTGCCTGGCCCGAGACTGGTGACTGTTGGGTGCCGGCTCTGCTCAGCCCCCTTTCCCGGAGTGCCTGCACCTTCCTGTTCCCCTTTCCCGCTTGCTGTTGCCGCGGGCTTGCAGCCCTGCTGTCCTGTGCCGAGCAGCCCACGCATTGCATCCGCCCTGCCCACCGCACGCTGCAGCCTCTGCTGCAGAGTGCACTGTGCCCCAGGTCTCGTGGAGGACTCCGAAAGCTCCAAGGACCCGCAGCCCTTCAGAGGCATATTTTCTCGAAGTGAATGAATGGGGAACAGGCCTGTGACCACGCTTGCCGGGTGTCTGTGAAGCCTGTGACAGGGGCCTTCGTAGGTGATGCTTCATTGCTGGTGTGGCTCCCTCGTCCCCTCCCTCCCACCTGACACCTTCTGTGTTCCTCTGCTTGTCCCGCTTCTGATCGAGGTGGAGACCAAGCGAGGGCGACTTGGAAGGAGCCCTTAGACAAGTGCTGCAGCGAAACTTGTGACCCCTGAGCAGACTGCTGTCCTTTCTCACAAGGCGGGTCTGCGGCCCTAGGGTTAGTGTGCTTGGAACCATGCCTTGTGGGTCTCTTAAAGGCTGTGTGGGGCTTTTTAAATTTTTATAATCACCAGGAAGTCAGTTCTTTGAGGACAAGGATTTTGTTATTAAATCAGCATAAAAGACATAGTAAGCGTATGTTGTCTAAGAATCCCGTGGACGATATTGTTTTCCCAGAGTGGTAAGGCGCCTTCCCATCCTGCCAGCGGTGCCAGAACATGCTTGCAGGTGCGGTGTGCTTGTGAGGTCACTGTGGCGTGTCAGCAGAGTGGGAAGCCGCTCCATGGATGCGGTCTAGCTTCTAGAGGACTCCTAATGCTTTTGACCTTTGGGTCTTAGGGAGGCCTAGAGAAACCCCATGCCCCTGAGTGTGAGCCACACACAGCCTGGTGATGCGCAGGAAAGAATTTTGTAGGTTGTGAGAAGGCTGCCGAGGGGAGCCCACGCCTGGTGGATCATGGGGTCCCTCCCCTCGTGAGAGGCTGTCTTTCTTGGCTTCATGCTCCAGAGCAGAGAGCGTGCTGGCCAGTCTGTTCATCTATCATTCCCAGCTAAAGGGCCGGCTGTGCACTCATCACGGAATGCCTTTCCCAGCCGCGCTCACTGTATCCAGGGGAGTCGGTGGGGTGTAGATGGTCCCCCATCAGGCGCCAGGAAGACCAGACCAGCTTCTCCCACTGCAGGGCCTCTGCACTTGCACACCCTTTGAGGCCAGCCATTACCCCGAGCCCCACTGACCACATTCCTCACTGAATGCTCTCCCCTCCCCAGCACTGTGTAATCACCTTTGTCTGTGCCTCTCAGACCCCACTGTTCTGTGGACCCAGCTCCACGTGGGCAGGGCCCATCTTGCTCTTCTGCATGGTGGTCGCCACAGCTTGCTCAGGTTCTGACAGGGACAGCTACTCAGAATACTAGTTGGACAGAAGCATCTCCTGATGAGCTATTAGAACCAGCTTTTGAGCCGTAGCACGACATCAGCATTTAGCAAATATCAAATTGCTGTTTTGGGGGCTGGGGATTAAGCTCAGTTGGGCCATCGCCTGCCTTGCAGGTTCAAGGTCCTGAGTTTGATCCATGGAACCAAAACAAACAAACAAAACTATTTTGGTACAAGGCTGGGTAGATTTACATAATTGAAACAGTTGATTAATTTTTTAAAAGCTGAAGATGTAATGATTTGTTCTGTGAATCTTGTTAAAGATTGCTCATATCAATCAAAATATCACATCCAAATTTGAATTTGTACCTCTTGCCTGGTCCCCTGTTCTTCCTTTTGCTGAAGCTCACCCCACAGAAGGCCTTTCCGGAGCAGAGCAGCCCTCTGCAGCATGATGGCCAGAGGTCCACTGGGGCCTTCTGTGCTGCTGCCAGGCTGAACTGGTGTTTTCTGGGGCTGCTTCCCACCCTGCCTGCATGGCCAGCCTCAGGGGGAACCTGACCCTTGTCTCGCCCCATCCCTTCTGCTGCATGTGATGCCTGGGGCCGTACTCTTCCTAAAACTGGGTGCTGGTCAAATTTGTTGAATGATTTGGCAGGACAAAGAGCAGGGACAATCCAAAAAAAACCATATAGCAAAAGCAGTTCTAGGCAACAGAGACATGGCAGGGGATATCACAATCCCCAACTTGAAACTATGCTACAAAGCTACTGTGATAAAAACAACATGGTACTGGTGAAGAAACAGACCTGAGAATCAGTGCAACAGATTAGAAGATGCAGAAACAACTCCAGACATACTCAGCTACCTCATCTTTGTCAAAGGAGCCAACCACCCTCTCTGGAGGAAAGAGAGCCTCTTTAATACATGGTGTTTGAAAAACTGGATTTCATCTTGTCAAAGATTAAAACTAGACCTGTATCTTTCACCATGCACTAAACTAAAATCCAAGTGGATTAAAGATCTAAATATTAAAACAGAAACACTAAACTTGCTGGGAGACAAGTTAGGTAGAACTCTTCAAGATACTGGCCTAGGAAAAGACTTTATGCACAAATCCTCAGTAGCACGGGAACTAGCACAAAGAATCAACAATTGGGATCTCTTCTTTTTCAAAAGTGTCTGCACTGCCAGAGAAATCACAAACAGCTAAGAGATGACCCACAATGTGGGAAAAAATTTTTACGAGCTGTTTCTCAGACAAAGGTGTACTATCTAGAATACATAAAGAACTAAAAAAAAAAAATCAGACCCCCCCCATATAAAGACCTGATTTAAAAATGGGCATCTGAAATGAAGAGACATTTCTCAGACAAAGAAGTAAAAGCAGCAAATAAACATATTTTAAAATGTTCAGCATCACTGGTTATTTGAGAGATGCACACGAAAACAACACTTTGAGATTCCACCTCACTCCAGAAAGAGTGGCTGCTAGAAATCAATCAAAACAAATGCTGGCGGGCTGTGGGGAGAAAGGAACCCTTCTCCATTGTTGGTGGGAGGGCAGACTGGTAACTACTGGGTGACTTTATGCACAAATCCTCAGTAGCACGGGAACTAGCACAAAGAATCAACAATTGGGATCTCTTCTTTTTCAAAAGTGTCTGCACTGCCAGAGAAATCACAAACAGCTAAGAGATGACCCACAATGTGGGAAAAAATTTTTACGAGCTGTTTCTCAGACAAAGGTGTACTATCTAGAATACATAAAGAACTAAAAAAAAAAAATCAGACCCCCCCCATATAAAGACCTGATTTAAAAATGGGCATCTGAAATGAAGAGACATTTCTCAGACAAAGAAGTAAAAGCAGCAAATAAACATATTTTAAAATGTTCAGCATCACTGGTTATTTGAGAGATGCACACGAAAACAACACTTTGAGATTCCACCTCACTCCAGAAAGAGTGGCTGCTAGAAATCAATCAAAACAAATGCTGGCGGGCTGTGGGGAGAAAGGAACCCTTCTCCATTGTTGGTGGGAGGGCAGACTGGTGCAACTACTGTGGAAATCTATATGGAGACACCTCAAACAACTAGGATTAGAGTCCTATTTGACTCAATGGTCCCTCTGTTGGATATCTTGCCAAAAGAATTAAAAGAATCATAACCACAGCGATATATGCTCACCCATGTTTATAGCAGCATGGTTTGTAACAGCTAAAGTTTGAAAACAGCTCAATTGCTCATCAACTAGAGACTGGATAAAATGATGTGGTTTTTTAAAAAATAAAATGGAATACTACTTTGTCACAAAGAACAAGAAACTAGAGACGTCTATAGCTAAGTGGATGCATATTGAGACCATATTCTTCAGTGAAAAAACTGGACACCACATGTGTAAATACCGATTGGTTTCTCTGGTATGAAAAATTAAAAGTGTAAATAAGGATTAAAATGTGTAATTGATAATGTGTAATAGGAAGAAAAGGTCTAAAAGAGCAAAGGAAGTGGAGGGGTAGGGGAGAGGTAAAAGGTAAAAGAAAAAAATATGAGAAAAGGAAAAACATGGAAACAAAGTCTTTGTAAACAGTGAAGAGGGGAGGGGCTGAAGGGAGGCTAGGGGAATGGGGAAAAAATAAGAACCCAGATACATGATCCCAGTGATGAATGTCACTGCATTGTATACCTAAGAAGTACCAATAAACTTAATAAAGATTAAAAAGAAGCAGGGACGATAATCAGTACTGCCCTGGGACCGTGTTGGCCTACTCAGGAGGACTGGCTTGTCATCTTTGTGGATGCAGTTGGAGGAGCTCCTGAGAAGCAGCAAGAGAAGTTGTCACAGTAACAGTGTGTAGAGTGGATGGAGAGATCACTCCAGAGGAGACAAGGCAGGAGATGAAACGCACACGTGGGGCCCGACTGTCCCCGAGGTGTCCGAGGCTGCCGACAGACAAGTGCGCGTCATCACCTGCTCTGGACCCAGTGCCCGTGTCGGGAAGCAGACGTCCCTGGCTTCCTCCCTCAGAGCTGCAGAGCGGGGTCTCTCTTTGCTGTTTGCACCTGAAGATGTCTCTCTGTCTTCTTCACGTCTGTCTGCACCAGTTGTTTCATTTGTTCTTTTGCTGTTCCTCTCCCAGTCGCCTTTCCTATCCTGTTTAGATTTGGGTTATTTCCTTAATGAAAATACCATTTTGAGATCCACTTACCTCACAGCTGATTTATTTCCTTGTTTTTGTCTTTAGCTCAGCTCTGAATGGGCTTTGGAAACTAGAGAAGAAAATCCAGTTTCCTTTTTGGGGACATTGGACAGCCGAGTAAATGCAGGTATGTGGATTTGCATCTTTTTAATGGAAAATGTCTAGCTTTTAAAAGAATAACAGAACTGACTCCAAACCTGGTGGGCCATTTGTGCTGTCATCTTTAATTTTTAAAAAAATCACTATTATATTCATTTGTAATATTAAATGTGGTTTAGAAACAAATCTCAGAAGTGCACAGGCCCAGGAAATGGAGGATGCAGGCCCAAGTCCCCTTGTAATCACGCTGGGTACTCGGTGCTGTCAGTAGGCGCCCCCACCCCCCACCCCGTGTTCTTGCAGACTTGAGTGTGCATTTGCCTAACCTGGAGGACCGCGCTGTGCCGATTACACTTTTCTCACTTTGCAGTGTGGACACACACTCTTGCCTCCCTCCGTAACCACTGGACGTGCCCTGGCTGGAGGGCCCACTCCTGTGGGACCTCGTGGGTCGCGCTTTTTCTGCGTCCCGTTCCTGTGTAATTGCCTGCTTATGCCCTTCCCTGGGGCTGGGGTATAGCGCCGCCTTTGACTTCTAAGGTCCAGTCCACGGAACCTCCTGGACAAGGTGCCTTGCTGTAGGATGCAGCTGTGGCTGCTGCTTGCCATCCTGACTTTCCAGTGAGGGACACAGGTGAGGTCTCGGTGCTGTCTCGCCTGCTGATCTCGTAGAGGTTAGTCTTTCAGCCCGATTTCCTGAAGATCCTGGCTTTCACAGTTGCTTTGGAAAGCCTCTCATTTTGTGGCGGTGTGGCCTGTGTGCTCCTGGTCCTCCTCCACCCACTGACAGACCCCGCAGAGGACCGTGACTGCTGTCCACCCCATGAGACTGTCTCTGGGTCCCTCGTGTAAACCTCTGAGCTTGGCTCTGGGGACAGAGGTGGCGAGCGAGCAGGCCTTGTCCTGGGGAGCCAGGAGTGTGTGTGGGCAGGGGTTGGGGATCCCAGGGAAGGCGGCCTCCGGGATGGGGCTTCACGCCTGGGCCCAAGAAGGGGTGAGGTAGGGAGATGTTCCCTAGAGGAGTCAGAGCAAGGCAGGGCAGGAGTGGGAGAGGCAGCCCCGGCCTGCAGCTGTTGGGGTGGAGGAGTGGCAGCACGCTGAGGGGAGTGAGTGTTGGCTTGTTCTGGGGAAGAGAGTGGTGCACTGAGGACAGGAACGTTGGTCGAGGCCACTGTGTTGGGGTGAGGGAAGGAGGGACATGGGCGGCCAAGCGGCCGAGGCCTAGCCTGTCATTCTGTGGCCTCCTCTGCTGCCTCTCCCTCTCCTGCCAACAGTGCTGTCTTGCTCCGCTGCTGCGGGGCCGCCTGGCCTCCTTCTTGCCTGTGCTGACAGGGATCTGGCTCATCCGGGGCCTCCAGACCCTTCCATGTGCTTCAGAGACAGGCGTCGCATTCCTGTGTACAGCCGGGAAGATGCTCCTGCACCTACCTGCGGTCCAGTCAGGATATGTGGGTCGTAGCCTGCTGTGGCCCGGCCTGGGTCCGCGCAGAGCCACCTGTCTGGGAGTGGGGGTCGTGAGTGACCCCTGCCCGGTTCACCCGCTCCCTGGCGCTTCCGGAGCAGCCCACACTTTTTCAGCTGCAGCCTAGGTGCAGACAGAGAAATTAAGCTGAGACCAGCTCCATCTAAGATCATTCTGATTTTTGACTGTGGTTAGTTAGTGTGCATAATTAATGCTTCCCATGTTTTCTCTCGCACGATTTTCAGGAAGGGAAAGAATGGAAGCAGGACTTAGCCAGTGCCAAGCACTTCCTCTCGCTCACCTTCCCAGCACTCTCCTCTGCCCCAGGAACGTTTGCCCCACGGAGTGACTGCATTGTCTCACTTTCCTCCTCCTGCAGTATCTAAACATAAAGGAGGACTGCAGTGCCATGGCGTTCTGTGCTAAGATGAGGAGCTCCAAGAAGGCCGAGGTGAGCCAGGTGGCCCCCGAGCCCGGCGTGGAGGTGACCTTCTACCTGCCGGACCAGGAGCCCCTCCGGCTGGGCGCGGGAGAGTACACGGCGGAGGAGCTGTGCATCCGGGCAGCGCAGGAGTGCTGTGAGTAGCCTGGGCCACCTGCCTGTGTGCCATTGCCTCCCTCCTGCCTTGGTCGGCTGGGACCCTGGCTTCTCCTGTCTGTCATGCCTGGCCCCATGGGCTCCGGCCTCAGCCTGGGCCTGTGTGGCAGGAATGGTGTGGCCCTGGCACAGTGGCCTACAGGTGCTAGTTCTCGTGTGGCATCCCTTGCCACCTTCTGCCACTGCCACGATGGCACTCGGCAGGGAGCCCGGGAACCTGGCCAGAGTTCCCCTTGTCACCCCTCAGACAGGGTCACCAATGGCTGTCACCTGCCTCCCGTTCAGTGACAGGTAAAGTTAGGCCATCGGAGTGCGGGAACCTTGCCCAGGTGGAATCCTCACAGGTGGCGGTGATGGCTGTACCACTTCATAGATGGACCTAGAACAGGTTCGCTTCATCTTACGTAGATCGTATTTGAAGAACGCTATTTGATGGTGATGAAGTCATGAGTTTACACCTTCCTGAGCCCTTAGAACCACTTGTGGGCGCTATGGTCATGTCAGGAATTACCCATCCCGTTGGTAACAGCTCACCTAGATCCCTTTTCTCCCTGATGTGGGTCTTCCTGCCTGAGCTGCTTTTGCAGCAGATTCCAGTGAAAGGGAAGTGTGCCCTGGCCTCCTGCGTGGCCGGATAAAGTGGGCCGAGTAGGGGAACTCAGTCATATTTTGAAGTTACTGTGACAGAGCAGCAACCTGTGCAGAGCTTTAGACGGCAGGTGTGACACACATGTGCCTGCTGGTGGCACATCCGTGACTGTCCCTTGCGTGGCTCGTACAACTCCTGGGCCTGTGCCGTGCCGTGCCGCCTGTGGGTTGGTCTCGCACGTCCCATTGTGCTGCAGAGCTGCCCAGCAGTGAGATGCACAGACCACTGGCCAGCACGACTTTGTAAAATGCATGTGTCGCTGGCAGAACGGCACATAGGAGCGAGTGCTGCTAGGGCCTCTGTGCCCTCTGCGTGTCGTGCTTACTCCTGCAGGAGGCGTCACCTCTGCGGAAATGTGGGGCTCCCGTTGTGGGGGCCGAGGCCTGTGGGCAGAGGCCGGACACCGCCCCAGGCTCCAGTGGGTCCCTGGGCTCCAGAGGGGGGTGGGTCTGGCAAGCACTTATTAATGTTCACAGTGCGTATCTGGTGCTGCGGACTTCTAGAGCCCTCACTGTGGTCACTGAGAGTCCTGTTTGGGTGTAGTCTGCCTTTCTGCCCTGCTTTCGCCTACTGGTGGTGAAGCTGTTTTCTTTAGTCCTCATTGCTTCGTCCCCTTGTTGCCCAGCATGTTGCTTCTGTAGCTGGAGAGCCTTGAGTGCATCTTGGGAGGTCGCTTCTCTAAGATGGCAGAGCGGGGTATAGTGGGCACACCTATCATCCCAGCATTCGGGCTGAGGCAGGAGGATCACTGCAAGTTCAAGGCTGACTTGAACTACACAGTGAGGCCCTGTCTCAGAATATGAAAAATCTCCAGAAATCGTACTTACCTCATTGAGTATAGAAGATTTAAGAGAGAGTAAATATAATGTCAGCATGATACTAGCATGTAGTCCTCAGCAAATATTAGTGTTGTTGGTATTTGGTGTTTTCGTATATAGAGGTACCCTTGGTCCTCCTGTTAATAGGGAGTTATGGGTGGGTAAGACTGTTAGAATCAGACCTATGGTAGAATTACAGACAGTTCCATGGCTTTGTATAAAGTGTACTTCCAATAGGATGTGTGCATTCAAGGATGTATGTGTATACAGGAAGGCTAGGTTTCCAGGCCAGCCACAAACCACCTGAAGCAGCCCTAAGAAACTGGACCCAACTGTGGCCTTTCCCTTGTGGGGAAGTGCAGCTCTTCTGCTGAACGGGGGCATCACTTGCTCCTTTCTTGAGCTGACTTGTGTCAGGACAGCACTTGGAAACGCTGCTGCCCGAGTGGAGAGAGTCCTGCCCACCTGGCCGGGGCGGGGCCTGTCAGCGCCATCCCACTTCCGGGGCCTGACTGCGTTGCCTCACTGTCCCCCACACTCTGGGGCTGTCTCAGGTCCTGGTCTCACTTCGAGGCCTGGAGCACTTGGTTATTGCACTCCTGTCCCCACACCTGTCAGCATCACAGTTCTTCAGCTTTAATCGTGAGCACAGACGCAAGCGGCTACTCACCCTGACCTTTCCCAGCATGCTCAGCGCTGGAGGACGTGGCCTGTGGTGGGGAGCAGAGCATGGCTGGCTGCTTGGTTAAACGTGCATCTTCTCGCTGATCGATAGGATATTTATGCTAACTGTACAGAGCACTTACGAAGTGCATTTATTATTAATAGCAATAGACGTTAATCACCGACAGACTCACTGTGGTTATTATTTATTCTAACACATTTTGTGCACAGCTGTCAGGAACTTCTTTGCATGTTTAATGCATACTCAGAGTGCTAGATTATTTAAACATGTTTTGCAGAAAACAGCAAGGTGATTGCAAACTCTGAGAGTGCCTCAGCCTGTGATCAGCGCTGCACCCTGGTCGGGGTCTGTGAGCCCCTCGGTGGCCCTTTGATCTTTTAAACAGGCTTTGGTGAGACTGTTGCAGCCACCTGCGATGAGAAACATCACCAGCTTTTCTTTCCGAGCGACTTCAGTATGGTTTGCCAGGAACTGCATGTTGCCTGGAGACTCACGGTCCTCGGTGCTGTGAGCAGAACTGCCTGACTGATGTGGCGGAAGTTGTGCTTGCCTCACAGGGTCCGAGTAACTGAGACTCTTTCTGGATGGACAGGTGGCGCCGTGATGTATCTCCTGAGCTCTCTCATGTGTGCACCCCCCAGGTATCTCTCCTCTGTGCCACAACCTCTTCGCGCTGTACGATGAGAACACCAAGCTCTGGTACGCACCCAACCATGCCATCACCGTGGACGACAAGATGACTCTCCGGCTCCACTACCGCATGAGGTATGGGAAGCAGCGGCTGCTATCTGCTCTCCCCCTGCACCCAGGTCATTGACCGATCATGCAGTCATTTCTGTAGTGTGTCACTTTTGCATTTGCTTGGTCTGAGGAGGGACTTCTTCAGTATTTGGAGTCCAGCTCAAGGTGAATTTGATCACCTGCTCTGCCACGGTGTAGAGAGGAGAGGGAGAGATGCCTGAACATAGTGGGTTGTGACCAGAACTGAAAAAGAAACGGGAAAGTGTAGATAACAGCTTGTATGCGTGTCCTTGCACACTGGGTTTTAAAACTATTTTTTTCCCCCAGTGCCGGGGATCAAACTCAGGACCTTTCGCATGTGAGGCAGGCGCGGTGCCACTGAGCTACATCCCAGCCTGTAAAATCTTTGAGATGTGTAACTTGTACTTATGTACTAGGTTATGATATAAAATATGCTTCTTACTAACACTAAAAACTGCAAGTAAGGAGTACCAGACTCACTGCCTGAAGTGATCACCTAGGTGTCGGTGCTTTTAGTAGTGGTGTCTCCACCAGGAGGAGATGTCGGGTTGCAGGGATGTGGTTTCTCCTCTGACGAGTGTGTGCCTTCTTGTCCGCGTTGTGGGCTTTGCTCAGTGCCTCCCAGCTCACGCAGACAGCTGGTGTTTCCACAGCCACAGTCTGGTCATCAGATAGGCTCGAAAGTGGGACGTGGTCAGGCACACCATGTGGTCTGCAGTGGAGGTGTGTACGGGGTCGGTCCTTCTTGGAAAGGCTCTTAGTTCACACACGTGTGATTAAATCAGTACATAGCTCTGATGCTAAGATGCAGGGAGGTGTTTGGAAGCCCGCTGGAACCTCGGAGTTTCCCAGGATCTTGGTTGTTACTGCTCTGGGGATTTGGTGGAGTTGTCCCTGTTCCTGGGATAGTTTGTTTTTCTGGAAGCTGAGCCTCATGTAACCCTGACTGTCCTAGGCTGACCTCATCGTCTGCTTATTTAGCTGCAGTCTCACCCCGAGAAGAGAGGCGTGTCTAGTGTGAGATTTCTTGCCCCAGATTCAGAAACATGTTTAACCTGTATTGAGCTGAGCCCTCTGACTGTATTTGGATTTATTTTTCAGGGTGGGATCTTGCTTTCCCTGGCTTAGGGGTTTGCTGCGCAGTCGGCACTGAGATGGGTCTTTACGACGGTGGCAAGCCCAGGCAAGGACGTGTCAGAATTCTCGTTCCCCCTCTAGGTTTCTGAGCTCAGAGTCCAGCAAGGTAGCAGCTGAGCCCTGGGTGGGACCTCAGCTCACTCACTTCACCTCTTCCATTTTTCAAGTGGGAAAACTGCTCTGCAGACAGAGAAGGGTATTACCTGGAGTGCACGCTAAGGATGTGTCTGCTTGGTGGCATGGTTGATCTTCGCTGGGTGTAGTGTAGCAGTGCCTCCCTGTAAAGGGTCTTTGCTCTTTCCCCATTTCCGGTAGCTGCCAGGAAGTGCACCTTGACTTTGTACCTGACACTGCACTTCAACAGGATGTCACTTTGGTATCACAGGTTCTTTGAACTTGGGAGAAGAGAAGCCACCCTAACCCAAAACATTTGGTTACAGTGAACTGCAGGAACTTTGAAACCTCCTAACCTCACTACTGAAGAAGGCGCAGCGTAAAAGTAAATGCTGCTGATTATTTCTGTGGAATCCAGCTCTGTTTGGGAAATATTCTTGTACTTTACTGTGATTTCTGGTTTTTACATAAAGGTTTAGTAATTTCTGTTTTATGTGTTAATGTAAGGCTGTCATATTCTTTACTCTGTGCAATGGCACAGTGGTGCAGCAGTGTACAGAGAGCTCACTGTGTGGTGTTCACGCATAAACTCGGGTGCCGTTGCCTGGGGAGGCTGATGTCGCACTTGTGGGGCCGCTGACGGGGAGTGTGGGCAGTCGTCCCCCCACATTCATCACGCTTTCTTCCCCTGCTGAATTACCAAGTTTCGTGGACAATTGGTATTTTAATTTTTATTCCTCTGTAAATTAACAATTTTGGCTATTTATGATCAGATATATTGTGGGGTGTACAGTGATGTGGTTTATGAATACAATGTGGAATAATTAAACCATGCTAATTAATGCTGCCTCACCTCAAATACTTATTTTTTGTGGTGAGAGCATTTAAAATTTACTCTTAGCGGTTTTGAAATGTGCATTGTACTCTCTTAGCTATCTATATTTACCACACTGTGTAGATCTTTTTTTAAAAAGGTGTATTCATCCTATCTGATGTTTTGAACTCTTTTGACTATCACTGATTTAATTTTAAAAAGGAACATAGAAATGTCCAGTTAGCCAGTAGGAAGGTGTTGATGCTGTCACCAGTTTTCTTACTTTGACATCTTCTGTAGGCAGTCACAGGGACTCAGCCTTGCTCTGCGTATTGGCATTTTTCTTAGTAGTGTTTGGGATACATCCTAGACCAGTCTGCACCCCCATGGGATCTCGGCCCCTCATACCTCGTGTCCCCAGCTGCTGGGCCTTGTATGTACCGCTGGCCTGCATGGAGGGGCAGCTGCATGCTGTCTGCCCCCGCTTCCTGTGTCTGGACTTTGGCCAGAGATGGTGCACAGGGCTCAGAGGTCCGGAGAGCATGCCGCTCCTGTCGGCTCTGCTCCGCGGGTCCCAGGACTTCCTCGGTGACGGGCGAGTACCTGTGTGTGCGGCTCTGGTGTTCTGGCCCCTGCTGCATGGGGCTCTCGCAGCACCCCAGCTATTCCCCAGCTCCCTGGGTGTGCCTGCCTGCAGCGTGCCATCCACGTGCTGTAGCCGGGTTATTTCTTCTGGCCCAGGGACAAGTTGTCCTTGAAGTGAGTGTCACGGGCCCCCAAGTATTGCTTAGCTTGGTTTAAAGTCTTGTGCGGCTCGGCTTGGGTCAGCTGCTTCACGCGCTGCAGAGGAAGCAGTAGGGAAGTGAATGGCTTCTCCCAGCACCCCAGGGCCCCTGCTCGGTGACAGTCGCCTTGCTGCCTTTTAGGTTCTACTTCACCAACTGGCACGGGACCAATGACAGCGAGCAGTCAGTGTGGCGACACTCGCCAAAGAAGCAGAAGAACAGCTACGAGAAGAAGAAGGCTCCGGATGCGACCCCACTGCTGGATGCCAGCTCGCTGGAGTACCTGTTCGCGCAGGTGGGAAGCTGGGCCACGGGGAGGTGCTGTGCCCCTCAGCTGCTTCGCCAGGCCTCACGGCCCCTCCGTCTCCCCCTTTGCCCTCATCACACATGGCGCCTGTGCTCTGAGGCCGGCCCAGTGCCTGTCGGGGGGGAGGTGAGCTGGAGAGAGGAGCCATGGGGAGGTTGGGCCGGAGACGGCTTCCGTGCTCTCTGTGCATGCAGGCTGGAGACCGCTGCTGTTCGTGCCATTTCACCGGCTTTTAATTTTTATTCCTTCGTCCTGCAATTGGTCAATGAAATACTGATCTTTGTTGACTTTCTGACTCCGTAACATTTCATTTATTCACCCATATTTACTGGGCATCTGTGTCCCACTTGCCAGGCCCTGGAGGTCTTGGCCTCTGCCTGGTCACAGGTGTCCTCGGGTGAGACAGCAGAAGACCACACAGACGCTGTGAGATGCCTGGAAAGGCATGCACTTTGGGGGCGGAGGATATGTGGGTTTTAATTTTAAAAGCGTTTGGTTCCATGTTTGCAGTACACAGTGATGCTCGTCGTGCGGCATTGGTGCAGGTACATAGCACATCTCCATGCTGCCCCTCCCCTTCCTCCCTCCACGTCTTCGTCATTCCCACGTGTAATGTGGGCAGACCTAGTTTAGTGCGATGAGAAGCCTCCAGGGAGAGGACGTCCGTAAGGAAGGGGCAGGGGCCCTGCATAGCTTTTCTCAGCAGCTCCCAACTCCGTCCCGTCCGTCAGGGCAGCTCTGGAGAGGGACTGCCCTGTGCTCCACGGATGTCCCTAGCACACTGACTGAGCCCTCTGGCGCCACCCTCCTCCCGGTGTGACAGCTACAGCTGTCCTTACACCTTGCCCAGTGCAACATGGTGGTCGGAGCTGAGAGAGCAGGTGGATGGCTGCTCAGTGGGTCCCGAGAGTCCTGTAGAAGCTGACACGGGCTCGTTTTTTCTCTCTGTGGACCCTGGGGTGCCTCAGGGAGGCAGCATTCTGGGGTGTGAGGGGTCTCACCGGGGCGCACTTACCATGGAGCAGGAGTGCAGAGGGGGTCGGTCTATCCTTGGCCTCGGGGCTGGAGCAGATAGATCCCTGGAGGGTTCCATGGCGGCTAAGGACACAGGAGCCTGAGTGCTGGTGACTCCATCCCGTTCCAGGAGGGCCTCAGAACTGCCCTGGGGACAATGCGGGGACGCAGCAGCGTGCAGCCCTGGGAGGCGTGTGCAGCAGTAATTGGCGAGGAGCCTGGTCCTTTTGGATTCAGCCTGTTGCGTTTCCCCATCTGCACCCTGCACTCTTCTCTTTCTCAGCTGAAGTGTGACAGAGGAGGGATCTGGGAAACGTCCCGCCCTCGGGGTGGAGAGGGGCGGCAGAATCCGCCTGGGCTCGGGGTGAGTTCCTGAGGCACCTGAACAGCTCACGTTTATGGAAATCCACCCCAAAAGCTGGCCACAGCCCTCGGGAGTCTGGAGAGCTGGGCAGTGCCCCTTCCTACCGAGAGAGACCGAAGTCCTGTCGCGGTCCAGCAGTGGACCCACTGAGCACCTTCCTCCGGGAAAGCTCGTGGCTGCTGCGCCACCCTGGGCCTGGCCTGGGGTCGCGGCCTCGGGCTGCGGACGTACGGTGTGGCTGCGCGGAGTGGAGAAGGTCCCTGCTCACTGGCCTGCCCACGCAGCGCTGCAGTTGGCCGCCTGCAGATGGCCCCGTTTCCTTTTCTTTCTCCTTAGAAGGGGCTCTCCGAGAGGTCAGAAGCACAGTTTAGTTTATTGCTCCATCCCTGGTGCCCAGAAGGACGTCTGGCCCGGTGGTTCCCAGTGACCCTGGACCGAGTGCATGAGTGGCGCAGTTGCCATGGGCTGGCGGTGGTGGGCGGAGACGGCACTGCTCGCACTGGGGCTGCTGTGTGGATGGTGCCAGACGGGAGGAGGCTCAGGAGTTGGGCGGGCCGGCGGGGCACCGTGTTGCAGCCTTGTTCTTGTTCTTCTTCCTTGGGAGGTCCTTGGTGGCTCTCAGAATGCGTGGACCCAGTAGGCTCGGGGTGTCCCCTGCTGACAGTCACGGCCGGAACTGTGGACGGCAGGTGTGGAACAGAGCTGGCTCGCCGTGCCGTCGGTGTGCTGCAGAGCGCAGACTCCTTCGTCTTCCCCAGAAAGGGTCGTGCTGGCCCCTCCAGGCTGAGACCGGCCGTCCAGCAGTGCGGGAGCCGTCCTCACTTCGGCACACTTGGGCCTGGCACACGCTGCTTGTCAGTGTTGTTTGTGTGCTGAGCCCACGAGCACTGCCAGTGTCGGCGCGTCCACGGCTCTGGTGTAGTGCTCAGTGCGTGCTTGGTAGAGAGGGACTCGCTTTCGAGGCCGCCGCCACCCAGCTGTGTGAGCAGGACAGCGCGTCCATGCTGGGAAACCGGCCGCGGCTCCTGTGTGTGCTCTTACAGCTGCCTTGGTGTGGGCCTCCCTGCCCACGCCAGACATGCAGCTCTGGAGCTGGTGGTGCTTCACGCTCTTCTCACCTCTGCCTGCAGGGACAGCACGATCTGGTCAAGTGCCTGGCGCCCATCCGGGACCCCAAGACGGAGCAGGACGGGCACGACATTGAGAACGAGTGCCTGGGCATGGCTGTGCTGGCCATCTCGCACTACGCCATGGTGAAGAAGGTGCAGCTGCCCGAGCTGCCCAAGGACATCAGGTGCGTGGCGTGCCCGGCTGTTGCCTGCATTTGCCGCTGCAGGCCCAGGCCTCGCTCAGAGGAGCACTGATCGCCGAGTCCCGACTCTGAGTGGTGACAGACAGAGAGGCGAATTTCTGTGCCAAGTGTACCAATAAAATGAGCGAGCCCCAGCTCTCTGCCCCTGCCCACGTCCGTGTGCACCCTCTCCACACAACTGCACTGGTGGCTGCTGCCTGCTCAGCCCAAGTGCCAAGCGCTAGTGGTGCCCTGGAGAGTGGGTGATTCTGATGGCCCGAGAGAGTGGTTATTCAGTCGGCGTAACCCACCCTCCAGGAAAGCCATGGGCTGTGAGATCACCATGCGTGGTTTGTGGCAGGGTCTGGCTCTCCGTAGTCCACAGTGGCCCAGAGTTCACTGTGCAGCCCAGGTTGGCTGCGAACTTGTGGCAACCCTCCTGCCTCAGCAGTTTTCTGGGAGTACAGACGTGTGCCCCCAGGCCCGGCTAAAGATCTTCTATGCTTCAGAGATTATCTGAGGTTGCATTTGTCAGGCCACGTCTTCGCACGAGGTGAATTCCTGTTTCTCCTTGCCCTGAACCAGCATCCAGGTCGCCCCACAGCACAGGGGCTGGTTAGATGCAGCAGAGGTGCTGTTTTCTTCGTTTTCTGTCACCCTGACTCTGTTGTTTCACAAGGCTGAGGTGACGCAGGACAGCTGCTCTCTAATTCTGTCTGCTGTACTCCACGAATCTACTTGTCGAGGCCCAGTCTGCTGCTGTGGAACCGTCCGCACTGCAGGGTGCCCTGGGCCGGGCTGTCCCACACCGGCCACGGCAGCAGGCTGGTCTCCGCATAGGCCCTGCGCGCCCTTCTGAGGACGCGCTGCTTCTCGAGTGCGTCCCACCTCATCCGACACTGGCTGTCGGAGAGCAGTGACAGCCAACCTTCCAGAGCATTCGGTGAAGCGGGTGCTGTGGTTTGCCCCCGCTGTCCTCAACCCTTTTCCATTTGCACCTGGATGGGAGACGAGGGTTCCCTTTGACAAGTGAGTCATTTCATAGCACTCTGGGAACGCATGTGCGTGGCAGACACTAAGCCTGATGTGTTTCATTTTCCCATTCTTCGTAATACATTGTGCGATCTTTATAGAAAAGTCCCAGGTGGAAAGTCGCACCTCAAGGCACCTGTGGTCTCATCAGTGGATACGCCCTCTTCCGTTCTGGCCCCTACTCTGGCCTGTGTGCCTGAGAGTACCCACGCACAACAGAGCAGCGAACCAGCACACAGCGTGGCTCGTCGCGGTCAATGCCTGCCCTTCTGGCCCGGGGACCTTGGTCCTGCGCTCCAGGGCTCCAGGCGAAGCCGCTGTGTTCTGTCCGGTCTCTGCCCACCTCCGTCTGCTCTCATCTTCCACCTGCACCCGCCCTTCTCACCAGACAACACGTTTGGTTTGTCCAGTTTTCTACTGGCCTGTGTGTGAAAAAGGTGATTTTCCTTTGTTTTCTTTTTTTTTAGTTACAAGCGGTATATTCCAGAAACACTGAATAAGTCCATCAGACAGAGGAACCTTCTCACCAGGATGCGGATAAATAATGTTTTCAAGGATTTCCTAAAAGAGTTCAACAACAAGACCATCTGCGACAGCAGTGTGTCCACACATGACCTGAAGGTGAAATACCTGGCCACCCTGGAAACTCTGACCAAACATTACGGGGCCGAGATATTCGAGACTCCCATGTTGAGAATTTCATCAGAAAATGAGATGAGTTGGTTTCGTTCGTCTGATGGTGGAAGCACGCTCTGCTATGAAGTGATGGTGACCGGAAATCTCGGGATCCAGTGGCGGCAGAAACCCAATGTGAGTGGCCTCAGGTGGAGGAGAAGACCCGGCGTCGCACAGCATGTGTTTAGCCTTCCCGTGTCTGTCTCCCCTTGGCCAAGCTTCTCTAAGCCAGGGACCGTGGCTCTGCCACCCGGTAGCACGGGAGCGAGGGGTGCTGAGTGAGGTGTGCAGGGCAGGAAAGGTGGCAGCACGTGGCAGGCCTGACCGCATCTGCCCGACTGGCTGCCCGCGCCCAGTACTTTGTGAGCGCGTCCCATGCGTTCGTTCACTTGTCTCTACCCTTCAGGGCCATGCTGCCGTTACCGGCTTGCTCATGCATTCGGAGAGGCAGAGAGGGTTAGGGAAGCTGTCCTAGGTCCTGCAGGCAGGCAGGAGAGGCGAGAGCCGAAGCGGGCCTCGGCTCCTTCAGGACGGTGGGTCTTGCACCGTGAAGCGTCTTCAGGGAGGTGTTTGTTGGACGAGGCTGGTTTAGTTGTGGTTCCACTGCCTAAGTCCTGTGGCTCTGGGCGGGTCCCTTTGCCAGATGGTTTCGTATTACTCACCTGTCAGATGGTGTCCCTTAGTGCTGTGCTGGGATTGTCACAGGACCCTTCACAGAGCCTGAACCGTGTGGCTGGCCAGGTTGCGTTCTCAGGGCAGGACGTGACGTCTGCGTGTCACCCACACGCGACCCCTGTGCCCAGTCCCCTGCAGCGCTGTGTGCTCGAGGCCTCACTTAGCTTCCAGGCTCGGGTTGGTGCCAGGTGCTTGGCAGTGGGACGGGGACTGCAGTCGGCCGAGTGTCCGCCCTCGTTGTTACCAGAGTGGGAACTTTAATGTGAGATTCATTTTCTCCGGCTTTATTGTCAGGCTGGGAAACAGTGCCTTCCCCTTTCCCCAGCTTTGTGTGAAGCAGGTGCCGCGCCTCAGGGAACCCTGTGGCAGTGTGGGCTCTGCTGCATGGGTGGGAGTGGAGCCTGGGGACAGGCATGATGGAAGAGCGCAGGTGGCCAGGAGCTCCGCTGGCACAGCACTGTGCCCAGCTCTGCAGGTGCAGGTGGAGCCATCGTCACCTGTGGCCTGCACTTTGGAGGGGCTCCCAGGGAGGACCTCCCTCTGCTGTGGTGAGGCGCCGCTGCGGCGGCCTTGAGCGGTCCTGGCTGGGGATGCGTGTTCCAGGGGCGGTTCTATCCCTTCCTGCGGTGACGCGCACACTGTGTCAGGCAGAGCTGAGGTGGTGCGATCGCCAGGGTCTCTACTGTGTGATGTCCCCAGATTCCCCACTAGGACTCCGCTTTGGTCCCTAACCCTGCAGCTCCCAGCCGCTAAGTGCAGGTGCCCAACTTTCTCCTCTGTGGGGCTCAGGCCGCTGAGGTTCCAGAAGTACGGGCCTCTCCCAGCAGAAAAGAGAAAGCAGCTCACTCCTGTCACCTGTGTGCATTAATCAGGCTGTTCCTGCTGAGAAGGAGAAAAATAAATTGAAGCGGAAAAAACTGGAAAACAAACACAAGAAGGATGAGGAGAAAAACAAAGTCCGTGAAGAGTGGAACAACTTTTCATACTTCCCTGAAATCACTCACATCGTCATCAAGGAGTCTCTGGTCAGCATTAACAAGCAGGACAACAAGAACATGGTGAGTTCCCTGCAGGGCTGCTCGTTTAGTGCGGTGCTGGCAACGAGAGTGAGGCGTGGCTGAGGACAGGCCGGCGGTGCGTGATCTTCAGGGCTCCTGTGTCGGAGAGAACCCGGTGATTGTCCGATGTAAGCCGGAAAGCTTCTGTCGCAAGGTGTGGCCGAAGTCAGCCTTCTAGTCCCCCTGGCCCAGTCCGTCGCATTCCGGGCCGTGCAGCCGTGCCTCTGCCTGGGCTCCGCCGGAGCCTCCAGCAGCCGGCCGCCCACAGACACTAGAGGCCGGAAGGGAGATCAGTGACCCTCAGTGTGTCCCCCAGAGGCCGGGGCAGACTTCATGCAGCACGCCCAGGGTGTTCCTGCTCATGTCCTCTCCCCCAGCTTCCAGGCCGAGTGGTGGGAAGGGGCACTGCCAGAGTAAGTGTGTTCGTGTCTGGGGAAGTCACGCTGGTGAGGTGGCGCGGTCCCGGGGCAGGGAAAGTGCGCTTCTCGGCCTAAAATCAAGCAGAGAGACAGTGTCAGGAAGACGCGCGCCTGCTGGGGGCTCTGAAGTGCCCAGCGACCCATCTTTCTGGCAGAGCCTTTGGAAAACGGCAGTGTACACTAAAAGCCGCAAAAACAGCTGTGTCATCCACTGGGGTCCAGGCGTCTGAGCTCAGAAGCAGTGCGCTGTGGACAGGGCCTTCCCCATGGGATGCTCCCTCCCTTGGCCCGTGCAGCAAGGCAGCTGGACCTGAGAGGCGGGCAGGGTGGGAAACAGGCCTCCCTCCGCCGGGAGCACGATTTCCCATGACTGGACGGCCCGGTGTTTATTGATCTGTAATGATGTTTTCAAAAACGGAAAAAAATCTTAGCACGAAACTTCCCGGGGATTAGTGCTGCTTTATAAAAACGTCTGGGAGAGGTGAGCATATATGTACATACCCGCTGAGACGAATAACCAGATATTAACAGCTCTTCGTGATGGGCAAGGAGCGGGTCTGACTTTCTTACTCTGACTGCCCTGTTTTTTAAGCAAAGAAGTAGACAGTAATTTTATTAGGAAAATGTGTTTGGAAGGGAGTGAAGGGAGCAGGACAGCCCGGAGGTGGGTCAGTAGGAAGACGGGAAGTGGGGCTCTTTGTAGAGCACCCTCTAGTGGCAGCCCCATGTCCTCCTGTCCTCCGCATCCCCGCCACAGGCCTGCGCCTGTGTCCTTCCATCCTGAGGACCTCTGTGCGGGGCTGTGGGAGCCGGGTGGGCTGTGGCCTGTGCTGTCCCACGTCGCTCTGGTCACCAAGGTGTTCCCGTCCTGGGGCTGGGAAGGGGGAGCTGTCAGCATGGGGCCCACACAGGAGAGGCAGCACACGGGTGCGGGTATAGGGAGTCGTCCCCCGCAGTCGTGCCCAGCCCCGGTGGGCACCCCCGAGGGTCAGCGCGGCCCGGTGCACTGGAGACTGCACCTCCAGCACTTCTGGCTCATAGCTGGCTCGCTGCCCGTCTGGGTGAAAAGCCTGGGCAGCCCTTCCAGACCAGCTTCCCCAGGAGACGGGCGCCTGGCCTCGGTCTCCCCCTCTGCACGGCCAGGGCAGGGCCAGCTCGGGGCGTCCTGCCTGGCACCTCCCTCGGCCCGAGCCAGGTGGTGCCGCTCCTGTCTGTCCAGCCCTGTGTGAGCTGGGAGCTGTTGCAGCAGCGGAGAGGGAGCCCTGTGACTGTGTTTGTCTTCTGTCCCCAGGAGCTGCAGCTCTCTTCCCATGAGGAGGCCTTGTCCTTCGTGTCCCTGGTGGACGGGTATTTCCGGCTCACGGCAGATGCCCACCACTACCTGTGCACCGACGTGGCTCCCCCGCTGATCGTCCACAACATACAGAACGGCTGCCACGGCCCAATCTGGTGGGTCCCAGGGTGCTTACACCGCCCTTGGTGTGAAGTCTGGCGGCCTTGGCCGGGTTGTCCCTGCGCCAGCCGGGCACTGCCAGTGTTGGCTGCGTGCTGTGACCCTCTTCTCTGTCCCTGCCACCTGCGCTGTGGTCAGGCCCTCCTCCACCCGTGGTGCACTCCATCCTCCTCAGCGCCTGCCCCCAGCTCTACCACAGCTGACCAGGCAGGGCCGCCTTTCCTCCCTCTCTGCTGTGCCCAGCCCCGTGGCCAGCGAATCAGGAGCCACAGGCTGCAGGCCAAGTCAGCCTGGACTGCGTGCTGGGCACAGATGCTCCGCAGAGGCTGGGGAGGTCCTGGGCTCCCTTCCTGAGAGTGGCTGCCTGGCCCGGGGCCTCCACAGAGTGGCCGTATGGCCCTGCGGACCCTAGGCCTCCTCCTGGCTGGGACGGCCTCCGACGCAGGCCGACACAGCTGCGTCCCCTCCTGTCCTGGTTGTCTGGAGTCTGGTGGAGTGTGGAGCTGGGCCCAGAGTGGCCCAGGCTGATGGACAGACACGCGGGGACTGTGTGCAGGCGCCAAGCTCCATTGGAGCGGCTTCCTCTAGCGCCCTAGCCACAGCTGGCACCCAGGGCCTGGAACCGCTGTCCCTGACCGGGAGAGCCCTTCCTGGGAGCCCGCCCGCAGGTTCAGTCTGTCGCCACCTCCCAGGCTGTCTGCGCCCGCACTTCTCTACCCCAGCTTCTGTCCCCTCGCCCCATCTGCTTTCCTGTCCTGTCCTGTCCTTCAGAGGCGTTGGCTCCTCTCCTGTGGCCCTCTCCGCCCAGGCCGCGGTCGGCCTTGCTCACTGCTTCCTGTGGTGCCGCAGCGGGGCTGGCACCTGACAGCCCTTGGGGGGATTCGGGGGCACTGCAGCTCCCTGCCCATGGGGCCTTCTCTGAGCAGGGTAGGACGTTGGCCAGGGCATCCTGGACGAGGAGGCCTGGCATGTACAGAGGGGCACACTGGTCTCTGCCTTCCATGTCCCACTGAGCCGGCAGCCCCGTCTGCCCCGCACTGGGGACCAGGGGTCCTGGGGTGCAGAGGCAGCCAAGCGGGCCCTGGTCGTGTCCATGCGAGTGGCCGTCATCGAGCACTCGGTGACAGTGTGTCCCAGTGCCGCGGGCCGTAGCTCTGTTGACTTCTGTCTCCACCCGGCATCGGGAGGACACGGGCCCGAAGGTTTGGGGAGGTGCGGGTCGGTCCATGACCCTGGGCGAGCTGTCCCTGCTCGCTTCCCCTCAGCACGGAGTATGCCATCAACAAGCTGCGCCAGGAGGGCAGCGAGGAGGGGATGTACGTGCTGAGGTGGAGCTGCACCCACTTCGACAACATCCTCATGACCGTCACCTGCTTCGAGAAGTCCGAGGTCAGTCGGGTCCCCGGCGGTGGCACAGGGTGGGGCTGTGGCAGGAGGGCCGCTTGTGGCCAGGGGTGCAGAGCCGTCCAGTGCGAGATCTGCACTCCATAGAGCCAGGCCCCGTCCTTCAGTGGCCTCTTCCCGGGGGCCGCAGGACCACAGGCCACTTCTGCCCAGCAGCACTGAGGGGCGTTCTCTGTAGGGACAGGTGTTGCCTCACCCACGGGCTAGGAGCCCCAGGTGGTAGCGCCAGGCAGTCACTGCTGAGTTGAGACGCAGAGTGGAGGGGTCTCACCTCGCTGGACTTCAGGTTCCTCGTTATTCGTGCAGTGTTTCAAATGCAAACTGAGGGGTTGTAGAAAATGGGGATGTTTACAGAATTCTTCTCCTAAGTCTGCCACGATGGGCTGGGCCCACCTGAGCCAGGTCAGGGTGGGTAGGGAGGAGCATGGGGCAAGCCCCATTAGCACACAGGCCTCAGAGGGGGCATGGGCTGCGTCAGGAGTGGGGAGAGAAAGGGGCAGAAAGAAGCCCGTGCTGCTGGGTGTCGGGGCACCGTCCCCAGGTGACAGCTCCCCGAGGCCTCACTGGGGTCTTTGGAGGAAGCCGACTGTTCCCATGCCAGAGGTGGCAGGCAAGCAGCTGAGTGATGTGACCTCCTGGTGCCCCAATGCCTGGGGAAAGGGCAGTCGCAGATAGGGCCGTGCCACTGCTTGCCGTGGCTGCCAGACACTGTGGCAAGCATCTTAGCGGCTCATTCTCGGGTGAGCTATACAGTGGCTGCATGAGCCGGTGGCAGCATCCTGCGGTGCCTGCAGAGCCGCTGACCGTTTCTCTTTGGAGTGGTTTTAGAGGTGCACAGCCGGTCGGTCCAGAGTTCTGTCCGCCCTGCAGCATCCCTAACGAGCATGTGTCCCGTGTTCTAAACCGGGTCCTTCTGGTCATGGTTCTGGATGGCAGGTGCTGGGTGGCCAGAAGCAGTTCAAGAACTTCCAGATCGAGGTGCAGAAGGGCCGCTACAGCCTGCATGGCTCGGACCGCGGCTTCCCCAGCCTGGAGGAGCTCATGAGTCACCTCAAGAAGCAGATCCTGCGCACGGACAACATCAGCTTCGTGCTGAAGCGCTGCTGCCAGCCCAAGCCCCGGGGTGAGTGGCCCCTTGGGGTGCTCGGAGACCAGGTGGCTCAGCGGGTGGCCCTGCGCAGTGTGGCAGAGTTTCTCCTCGAGTTCCGGGGCAGGTCTGACGCCCACAGGCTGCAGGAAGCAGCATGGCCAGGCTCCTCCCTCCTCTGAGCTGGTGTCCTGAGAGCTCCCCGTCTGGGCTGCTTACCTGAGAAGTCTTCCTGGCGCAGCGTCGCAGGGTCAGGAGTGCCACTGCAGGCTGGGCCCTGCTGCAGGGCTTCCCGCCTGTGTGGGGCGTGACCTGTGTGAAGGGAGGGCTCAGTGCACACGGGAGCTGCACCCAGCAGGTGGAAGGATGCCCGGTCACGGTGATTGGGCCCAGGGCCATCCAGACAGGTCCTGGTCACCTTCCTCTCTGCTTGCACAGAACCACTCCTGGGACCCTGAACCCCTGCCCCCCCCAGCCCCCCTCTACGTCACCCCAGCTGTCTAGTCCAGCATTTGGGGATTAGGGACGGTCTGGGGGCCCTGGGTTCAGCTCCCAGCAGTGCCCACTGTACACTGGGCCGTGGAGCTGGAGCAGGGAATGGGACAGTTTCTGCCTGAGCCATAGAATTTCATTCTCTTGGGACGTCCCCTGGCCCTCCCAGGACAGTGTGCTGGGTTGGGGCGTCTTGGGCTGTCCTCCAGAAGAGCGCACACTGCAGCCTGGCGAAGTCTGTGAGCTCCTGGGGCGGCACCGACAGGGACCACGTGTGCTGTGCAAGCCCCCTGGATGGTGGGGCCTCGGCCCTGGTGTGCCATGTGATCTCTTGCACACCAATTTCTTCCACAGAAATCTCAAACCTGCTGGTGGCCACCAAGAAAGCCCAGGAGTGGCAGCCCGTCTACCCCATGAGCCAGCTCAGCTTTGACCGAATCCTCAAGAAAGACATCACGCAAGTGAGTCATCTCTGTGGACCTGGGTGTAGCTCGGTCCCCCCTCCCTGGGGGCACAGGGTGGTGGCTTCCTTGCCCAGTGAGCGTGCACCGCGCCCCACACCGGCCCCATCTGGGCGGGAGGGTGAGGGCCCTTAGGCTCCTGGTGCCGCTCTCACCTGCCAGGGAGTGGCAGGCGTGGGGTCTGTCCCAGGACCCGGCCGTGGTTGCTTCTGTGCATCTCTAGGGGGAGAGCTGTGTCGCAAGGCTCCCACCCCAGAGCCGCAGCCGCAGCCTCTCTCCTGCTAGGGCCCGAAGGCTGCCTGCCTTCTCGCAGTGCGTGCGTCCTGTGGCTGGGTGCTTGCCACTGTGGGCAGCCTGCGGGTGCAGTCGGGCAGGGGTCATCATCAGACCTGAGTTCCCCAAGTGAGCAGGACCGGCAAGGACCTCAGACAGAGCAGGCAGCAGATCGCAGTGCCAGGGAGGGAGCCTCGTTCAGGAGGGTGTGGGCTCCTGAGAGCAGGTGACCTGGCCCTCGTGAGTCCCCCTAGGGAACACAACTTCTGTGACTTAGAACACTCCTTCGTGACCAGCGCAGCTGCCACAGATCGTCACAGGACCCTGTCAGGGTGAAGCCGGCAGGGTGGACAGATGACAAAGGGTGGCACTTACGCAAATGAGTGCCTCTGGAGTGTGCTTTCTCCTGTGGGTGCAGGGTGCATCCCGGGGTGTCCGCCCCAGTCCACATTCCGCATCTGTAAGGGTCCTAGACCTGCGATGCACACGCTGTGTGGGTGAGGCCCCGTTGGATGTGCGCGTCTCCTGGGTCAGTTTCGATTTCCGAGTGTTGGGATTCAGAAGCGCTGAAGCTCCAGCTGGAAGGGCCCTCGGAGAGGCCGATCGCACAGCGGCCCACCGGGCCTCCGCCCCTCAGGCTGCAGTGTTGCCCCTTTGCCCCCACCCTGCCTCCGCCTCCGTGCTCATTCACCTCCGCAGTCGTGCGGGGGCACGGGGCTGGTGTGCGCCCTGCTTGGGAGTGGAGTAGGGGCTGGGCGGGCAGAGCAGCCCTGTGAGACACAGCACCCGCCTGGCCCGTGGGGCCGTGTCGCTGGCGCCAACTGCACCGTTTGCAGTTTGCAGGTCTGTGGTGGCTCAAGAGGGTTTGATCCCGGAGTCAGGACGGTCCCCGGGACAGGAAGACGCCACAGCGTGTCGGCCTGGAGCCTTCCTGTTTCCCCTGCACACTGGACAAAGGCAGGGCTCGGGAGGCTCCGAGAAGTGGGCTGGGATGCGGTGGCCATCACCGCCTTGTCTCTCCCTCAGGGCGAGCACCTCGGCAGGGGCACGAGGACACACATCTACTCTGGGACGCTGGTGGACTACAGGGACGACGAGGGAACCGCGGAGGAGAAGAAGATAAAAGTGATCCTCAAAGTCCTCGACCCCAGCCACAGGGACATCTCTCTGGTCTGTTTCCCTGGCCCGACTTCGGGCAGAACCCTCTCAGGCCGCTCCCAGCCAGGCCCTGTGTGTCCCCTGCTTTTCTGCCCCTTCCTGTCCTGCCTGTGGCCCCTGGTGGTGCGGGGCATCTGGGGACGAGCCAAGTGGCCTCGGAGCTCCCCCTGCCAGTGTGCAAAGCCCAGGGGACCCCTGGTGACAGGGCTAGTCCTGTCTGGACGTCCGCTGGCTCAGTTTCCCACTTGTCCTGACTTGCAGCCGTCTCTGCAGCCTTCAGTGCTGTTTTCTAGACCAGTGTGGCTCCCTGCAGGAGGCCTCGGCCAGGGCCAGTTTCAGGGTGGGGGCGGTGATGGGTGAGCTCCTGGACTCTGGCCCCACCCTGGCCAGCAGCCCCTCCACGCCTCTCCCACAGGCCTTCTTCGAAGCAGCCAGCATGATGAGGCAGGTGTCGCACAAACACATCGTGTACCTGTACGGCGTTTGTGTGCGCGACGTGGAAAGTAAGTGCACAGCGCCGCCTGGTGGGCAGGGAGGTGCTCAGCAGGCCGCGGACCTCACAGCCCTTTCCACTTGTTTCTCTAACGCTTTTTCCTGCTGTCCGGGGCTCAGTCCCTGCAGATCGGAGGCTGAAGCAGGGTGGGTTCTCCGCTGGGGTCCTGATGGCAACTCTGGCCCCCACTGCACTCCTGCCTCGAGCTGAAGCTGGAGAAGCATGACGGCCCTTGCCTCTGGGTCCTGGCAGATAAATTTGAAACGAGAACTTTTTCTTTTTTCTTTCTTTCATTGCCCTGTGGTACTCTGGATTACTTCCTTGTGCACTGAGCTAAATCTTCAGTCGTTCTGTTGTGATTTTTGAGACTGGGCCTCATTAAGTTCTTCACCTGCCTGGCTGGGCTCAGATTTCAGTGTCCTGCCCCAGTCCCAGTGCTAGACTGGAGCTGTGCCCCATGTGGGTGGCCGTCTCTCTACACAGCATGGCAGGAGCTGCTGGCATCAGGCCGGGCCCAGGGCCACCTGTTTGTGGCCTCATCGGTCCCCGAGCTGGGAGGTGGATCCCGCTGTCTCCGTGCTCACGGGTGAGGGATGCGGCCTCCAAGGCTGTCACTGCTCAGGGCACGCAGGTCAGGAGTGCAGGGTGGGCCAGACCTGTGCTGGGGGAGAGCCGCACCACAGAGGCTGTGGGCAGGGGCTGTCCTGTCCCAGGCAGAAGCCCAGAGCCGCCTCTGCCGCAGATATCATGGTGGAGGAGTTCGTTGAGGGAGGGCCCCTGGACCTCTTCATGCACCGCAAGAGTGACGTCCTCACCACACCCTGGAAATTCAAGGTCGCCAAGCAGCTGGCCAGCGCCCTGAGTTACTTGGTAAGCGCTAGGCTGTCCGCGGTGGGTGCTCTGGGTGGGCGCTGCTATCCTGGATGGACGGGCTGGTGTGTGAGGGGCCACTGGCACGAGGGAAAGCTCCTGGGAACTGCCGTTTGCCCATGCTCGTCCGAGCCCGGGTCGTACTGGGGACGTGCAGCTGGGTGTAACCATGTGGTACCGGGAGGAGGACAGCTGTCCGGTCAGCACGCCCTTTGGTCCTGCAGGAGGACAAAGACCTGGTCCACGGAAACGTGTGCACCAAGAACCTCCTACTGGCTCGTGAAGGCATAGACAGCGAGATGGGCCCGTTCATCAAGCTCAGCGACCCGGGCATCCCCGTCACCGTGCTGTCCAGGCAAGGTGTGTCCCCGCCCAGCAGGAGGAGGGGCAGCCGGGCTGGCTCTGAGAGGTGGGTGGGAGCGGCTCTGCCATGCTCGGACAGCCAGGGAGGTTCCTGGCCCGGCCGGGGGGCTGCCGTGCCGCGTGTCCTCGCCGTGCTCCACAGGCTGCAGGCTGTGCAGTGGGCCCCGGGCCTTAGGCCTGGTGCAGGTGTCCTGGCGTGAGCTCCACTCAGCACAGCACAGGGCTTTTGCCAGTAGTGCGATCTCTGAGCACCCTGTGTCCTGCCCTGTCCCCGGAAAGCTCCCGTTGGGGGTGGGTGTTTGTGTGTAGGCCTCTCCTCCTAGCCTCTGTTAGTACCCCATGGCGCCCTGGCATGTCCTGTGCTCCTGGGCCCGGGGAGGGTCAATGTGCCCTGAGCTCGTGGCGGTGCTGACAGTGCCTGGGGAGCTGGGGGACTTGAAGTGGTTGCTGCGTGTCTTCCCCAGAGTGCATCGAGCGGATCCCCTGGATCGCCCCCGAGTGCGTGGAGGATGCCAAGAACCTGAGCGTGGCCGCTGACAAATGGAGCTTTGGAACCACGCTCTGGGAGATCTGCTACAACGGCGAGATCCCGCTGAAGGACAAGACGCTCATCGAGGTGAGCCAGCCCCGCCCTGCCCTCCCTGGGTTGCAGACGCCAGCCTGTCCCCTGTCTGTCCTGTCCCTAACACAGGGCGGAAACACGAGGGTGTGGGCACTGCTGAGGGGACAGCCAGGCTCCCAGGATGGGAAGGCCTCAGGTTACACCTAGGACCTGGGGTGCGCGCAGGCAGAAAACTGGAGTGCACCGGTGGCTTCACCTGATTGTCTAGCAGTATTGACTACTTCTGAATTTCAGAACAATTAATACTTTGGAAAATAGAAAAAACTATTAAAAACTAGTCATCTGGTCACGGTGAACACTTCGGCTTTTGTCTTCAGCCTGCCTGTATTCTCCTGTTAAAAGTGCGGCCGTAGTAGATAGAGAGCTGAATGTTTGTAGTGAAGGGTGTGAGTGCGTTTGGTGAGCTGGAGTAAATCTTCCTGTTTGTGTGAACGGAACTGGCGTGCCGGATGCTGGTGTGCTCACTAGTCTTGCACTTGGATTCCCCCGTCCCTCCCCTCTGCTTTGCTCGGAGCCGCTGGGGACGGCAGGAGGGTGGTGGGCAGCACCGGGCAGGGTGGGTCCCATGGACCCAGCCCCGCAGAGCCGCCGGCTTCCCTGGGACCGGGAATGGAGGGTGTGCGGGTGGTGCTGGTCCCTCTGAGCCGGCCCCTTACAGAAGGAGAGGTTCTACGAAAGCCGCTGCCGGCCGGTGACGCCGTCCTGCAAGGAGCTGGCTGACCTGATGACCCGCTGCATGAACTATGACCCCAACCAGAGGCCCTTCTTCCGTGCCATCATGCGTGACATCAACAAGCTGGAGGAGCAGAGTAGGCCGTGCTCTGGGCCGGGCCGGGCCAGGGCGGGCTCGCCACTCGTCCCCGCCTCTCACCCATTCCTCTTGTTAGATCCCGACATTGTTTCTGAAAAGAAACCAGCCGCTGAGGTGGATCCCACGCATTTTGAGAAGCGCTTCCTGAAGAGGATCCGTGACCTGGGGGAGGCAAGTTGTCCTTGCTCGTGGGCTGCCGGCCGCCTCTGTGCCCCCGGCCAGTGAGGCTCCTTGCTCCCTTCTGGGGGACACATCCGCTGCATGGGGCTGGAGTGCACGTCCCTACCCACACGTGTGACCACATCTGTGCGCAGGAATGTGGGTCACTGCCGTGGGACAGGTGTGGTGGAAATGGGAGGCCCTGTCTGCCTGTTCTGGGGTACGCGTGCGTGAGGCTCAGATGGGGAAGAAAGAGCATTTGGCACAGAGTGACAGGAACCAGTGTCTCCACCGGGCATTGTGACCAGAGAGTTTTGGTCTTTACACGGCCTCCGTGGTCCGTCCCTGAACAAAGGCCATGGAGTTTTGTGTGTGAGCTCTGTGCCAGTGGGTGTGTGGGGCATTCTCACGTGTGCAGGGCAGTGTCACGACCCGTGGGGCATGGCAGGAGCCAGCTGGGGACTGGGGCCCCGGCACCGAGTGTCCCTGGTGCACACGTGCCGGCCAGCTGCTCTGTGCCCGGCCCATGGTGCTGGCCTGGGGCTGTGCTCCCGGGAGCTGTGGTTGTGAGTGGGTCCGCCAGCCGCCCCCGTCTGAGCTCAGGCACTGAGGCTGCAGGCGGAGAGCAGGCGCCATGGTAGGCGGCAGAGCCCAGGGAGCCCCCTCTCCTGGGGATAGCCAGGTCCTTCTGGCCTGATGGCCACACACGCGTCCCTCCCTCCAGGGCCACTTTGGCAAGGTGGAGCTCTGCAGGTACGACCCTGAGGGGGACAACACCGGGGAGCAGGTGGCTGTCAAGTCCCTCAAGCCCGAGAGCGGAGGCAATCACATAGCCGACCTGAAGAAGGAGATCGAGATCCTGCGGAACCTCTACCACGAGAACATCGTCAAGTACAAGGGCATCTGCACGGAGGATGGTGAGCTGTCTTGGGAGCCGCCAGTGCTGTGTGGAAGTGACACCAGCCAGCTCGTCCCCGTGCCCCGGGGCTGGTCAGAGTGTCTGGGATAGACGTGGCGAGGTCTAGGCGGGACGTGGGAACAGCTCATGTGTACTGTTTCCTCTAGCTGACACATCCCTCGCTCCACTTACCGCTCATCTGGTTTCGAGACAGGATCTCTAAGTTGCCTGGGCCGGGTGCCAGCTTGTGACCCTGTTGCCTCAGCCTCCCAGAGTGTTGGAACCTCGACCCTGTGCCGCCATGCCTGGCATATTTTTGCAGTAGTTGTGTATTTCTTGCAAACCAGCTTACTACTGATCTTGTGTCTTTTAAAACTGGAAGTGAGGGCCGGGGAGGTAGCTCAGTGGCACTGCGCCTGCCTCATAAGCGCAAGGTCCTGAGTTTGAGCCCCTGCACCAGAAAAAAACAAAACTGGCGGTGAAACTAGGTTTGGTAGCGCACATCTGTACTCCCAGCTACTCAGAAGGCTGAGGCAGGAGGATCATGAGTTTAAGGTCTGGACAACTTACCGAGACCTTATAATTTCAGGTTCTCATTGCTTAGGCGTTGATGGTATAGCAGCTGTATCTGCCAGCCGGTGCTCGTGACATAGGCCAGACCAGTGTACGGCTCTCTCTGCCACTCCCTCTGATCGGCCCTTTCTCCTACTTAGGAGGAAACGGCATCAAGCTCATCATGGAATTCCTGCCCTCGGGAAGCCTGAAGGAGTATCTTCCTAAGAACAAGAACAAAATTAACCTCAAGCAGCAGCTCAAATACGCCGTCCAGATCTGTAAGGTACAAACAAGGCTGCCCCCAGCGGTCACGGTGCCGCCGCAGTGTGGGCCCTGGTTTGTCAGCTGTGAGCAGGCGGAGGGGATGGCACCTTTCGCCCTGCGCTTGCTGGATGGCACGCGAGTGGGTGGGAGGCAGGGCGGCTTCCATGTCCCGCTGCCCCTGCCTGAAGGTGTAGAGCAGGGCCGCTGGTGCTGTGAAGGCAGGTGACCTGGTGATGCGCTGTGCCCCCCTGTCCGCAGGGCATGGACTACCTGGGCTCCCGGCAGTATGTTCACCGCGACTTGGCAGCCAGAAACGTCCTGGTTGAGAGTGAGCACCAGGTGAAGATCGGGGACTTCGGGCTCACCAAGGCCATCGAGACCGACAAGGAGTACTACACGGTCAAGGATGACCGCGACAGCCCTGTGTTCTGGTAACGGAGCCGAGCTGGAGCCGTGGCCCTACTGGACAGCTCGTCCTGGCGAGGGGCCCGTCCCTCTGTGCGCACAGCTCCCCTCCCTCTACGCGCCGGCTGGAGCCTCTGGTGCTGTCCCTCCAGGCATGGGTGGGGAGGTGTGACGGGCACGCGGCAACACTGGACAGCGGCAGGGAGCTCCTGATGCGAGCTGAGCTCTGGGGGTTGCATCTTCCCAGCGCAGCCCGCTTTTGGCCCTTGGGACAGACACGCAGACCTCCTCGTGCAGGGTCAGCTGTTGGTGGCCAGCAGTGTATCCCCACTTACACACCTGCCAGGCAGGGGCCTGGAGGGGCCTGGAGGCAGGCCCAGGGCAGCTGTTGCAGCTGACAGAGCAGGCCATGTGGGGCAACGGTCAGCACTCAGGAAGCCCGGTGTCCCCAGGAGCAGGGCCTCCAGAGGCAGGAGGGCAGCTGACTCAGCTCCTCAGCACAGAGGGTCGGGGTTGGAGTCAGTGACAGCCCAACGAGGCCGGTGGTGGGGCAGGCGAGAGGGGCGCAGGCTCGGGAGGGCCCCGGAGAGCAGGCGGGGATGTGGGGTGGCCAGTGTGGCCAGTGCAGTGGGCACCACCAGCCAGGAAGGGCGCCACACCTCAGGAGCGTGGCCTCTGCCCCGCCCCCCCAGCACACAGTGTCTTTGTGGCCCCATGCGGGGTAGGACCAATGCAGCACCGGGACCCCGAGGGCCGCTTTTCTGAGCTGCCCGTGGTGCGTGGCAGAGCCTCCCTCCCCAGAAACACGGGCTCACCTGCTCCCCTCCAGGTACGCGCCGGAGTGCCTCATCCAGTGCAAGTTTTACATCGCCTCCGACGTCTGGTCCTTCGGCGTGACCCTGCACGAGTTGCTCACCTACTGCGACTCGGACTCCAGCCCCATGGCCGTAAGTCCGTCGGTTGCACTCCCTGGCCTCGCTCATGGAACTCTGGCCTCCATGCAGTGAGTTAAGCTGGCGGAGGGGCGCGTCACTGCCTGGTACACTGGCGTCATTGCTCACAGTGGCGGACGGCCCTCCTTGCCGGGCCCTGGCCCGTGTACGGTGGGGTGGGGCACAGAGGCTGACCCCGGAAGGGGACCCTTCTCCAAACAGGCCCCTGGCGGCAGGGGTGGTGGGCGGAGCTGAGATGTGATTGCAGGCAATCATGGAGATCTCAGGGCTGTGGGTCTTCGGCTAAAGAGACTTAGGAGAGCATTTTTGTTACTTATTTTCCAGCTAATTCTAGCAATCTGTTGGTTTTTAATGCGTGTGTGCACGAAGTCCAGCAGTTTGTTTGGTCTTGTTTTCCACAGTTGTTCCTGAAGATGATAGGCCCGACCCATGGCCAGATGACAGTCACCAGACTTGTGAATGCCTTGAAGGAAGGAAAACGCTTGCCGTGCCCCCCGAACTGCCCCGATGAGGTACTTCTGGGCTGCCCACTGCGCACCCTGCTCATGAGTTGTCCACAGCCAGAAGTGTGGAGCAGGGGCGGGAGCCAGGGAAGGGGTGCAGGAGGCGCTTTCCGAGCTCTGAGGCTGGGCTGAGGTGGGATGTTCCAGGCGTCAGCTCAGGGCTGGGCACAGGGTGTTCACGGCCAGGACCCTTGAGTACCTGCACACCCACCCCGGGGAGGCTTTGGCACGGGCTTTCGCGAGAAAACGCAGTGACGCTTCCTACCTGTCATGCTCATTCCGCCTTTGGGACCGAGGCCCAGTGAGGTGCCGGTCGGGTGGGCTCAGACGGGCTCACCGCACCCTTCATGATACCGTGGTGATGCCGGGCCCCACGGTGCTAGGCTCGAAGCTAGAGCAGAGTTGTGTGTTTCAGACTGTCCACATACTCCTATAGTCGTCTTATGGAGAAGTCATCCTACATATCTCAAACTATCTTCTTAATATTTCTGTACTTTTCCAAAACGCTTCCGGGTTAACAGCACTTTTACTATTACTGTGTTTGTTATTACTTCTCTTCCAGGTTTATCAGCTGATGAGAAAATGCTGGGAATTCCAGCCATCCGGCCGGACCACCTTCCAGAGCCTTATTGAAGGGTTTGAAAGGCTTTTAAAATAAGCAGCAGGAGTAACATTGAAAGCCCACTCTGTATCCAGCCCTCCTGCCCCAGCAAATACCCAAGACATTTAAAGTAATGGGATCGCTTGTGTCTGTCGGGAGAGCCCTCAGACTCTCGGGTGTGTACGCCTGTAAGGCACACTGGGGTGCCAGTCGTGTATAGAAACTTCCTCTCTGAATCGGGCACCTCTGAAACTCAGTGACAGATGATGACAGCCAGAACGCCGGGACGCCCGTAAGCTCTCCTCTCGGAGAGGACACCGGGGTCCAGCTCGTTTGCCATCCAGTCACTTAGCAAAGTGGGATTGCTGCAGGTGGACGGAAGCCCAGGCTTAGACGGTGCCGGGGACCCGAGATACTCTGTGGGCATTAACCTTAGGCAAGAACGATGGCCTCGGTGGCCAGGGCTGCCGACCCGCCCTGAGTGCTCTGCTCTGAGGTCCCAGACCGTCCGGTGCGTTCCGTCCCTGGTGGGAGCTGTCCCCACTGGCTGCTGGCACCGTTGTCGCGCCCACTGGCTCTGCTCGGGGCCTGCATGGCATCTGTGCCCTGCTGCATGTGACTTCCGAGAGCCTGCCCTGCCCTGCCCGTGCTGTCCCAGCAGCCTGCTCCAGCTGGTCTCCTGGCCTGGATGCTGTGACGCACGCTTTAAAGATGCAACCAGCTCGGAGCCAGCGTTTCCGGCCCTGACTGCAGATGCTGTGTGCAGGGCTCACCCCAGACTGCGCTGCTCCTACGCCTGTCTGCAGGGCTGCTGTCCTGGCCGTCTGCCTCCCTGTGTTGCGGCACTCAGGAGAAAAGACCCGGCTGGCGGCGCTCTAGTTCTGGACCCACTGTGTAGTCCATGTGTGTGGGACGGCAGCCAGGAGCCTCAGCTGGTCGGTCTCTGATTCAATGTGAACCCGTAAGCGCTGTCTGACCGCAAGTCCAACGGCCTTCAGCTAATGCAGTCCAGTGTGTGTCCTGTGCCTTCCCTTCACCTTCTGCACTCGCCCTCCAGAGAGCGGTAAGATTGCTTTGGGGCTCTGAGATCAGTCCCCTTTCCCTACAGCAGCAACCTCTCTGTGTCAAACCTGTGGCCACTCTGTATGCACTTTGTTTACTCTTTATACAAATAAATGTACGGACGACTTTACATGCATGTACCTTTTAATCTGGTGTTCCTTTTCAAAGCATTTCACACTGTGTGTACATAGAAAAATAACAGTACAGATCTTGGAGAGAGGGTTGGAAATGGTCCTTGTCACCGTGCTGCTCGGTTTCTGCCTCCCTGCTGTGTCCAGTGACGGCGGGCACCAGCCAGCGTGGGTGGGGAGTCCTCCTGTGCTGTCATGGAGAACAGCTCCGTTCCAGTCTTCCGTCCAGGCTCCACTGTGAGACGCACCGTCCTCCCTCTCTGCGCACTGGCGGCCGAAAGCCACAGGAACGGGGCAGAGAGGGCCGAGTGCCGTCAGCCGCCTGCCGCGACTCTCACCTGCCTGCTGTGGTGTTGGAAATTGTCCTGCTTTAACTTTCTAGCTGTCCTTTTCCGGTACAAGCAATACACACCATAAATGAGACCACGAAGAATTCTTTACAAAGCATACAACGCACTCATCACTTCTACGTGTCATAAAGCAGGAGAACATCAAACCCGGCAAGTGCCTGGATGACAGGTATTTTAATGAGCTGACCCTAAAGACTGGGGACACTGGGCCCCCAAACTCCATTCGCAGTCGACAAACCTGGAAGCTTCTAGATGGCAGAAGGTTGCTCATGTGTTTAAGGCCAGCCTTCCGGACACAGTGATGCTCAGACATGAAACTGGGTCAGACAGCTGACGTTTGCAGCCTGACGGGACCGAGGACAGAGCGTACGGCTGTAAGTCTGCACCAGACGCCCTCCGAAGAGGTGGCTGCACCAAGCGGACGGCACCTGACAGGCAGAGGCCCAGGCTGCTCACTGGGGCCTCGCCAGTGCCTTGTGAAACGGGACACACAAACGCCCGCATCCCTGCGCCGTCAAGTCTGCCCCGAGGTAAGGTCGGTCTCCGGGGGAACTGCGAGGACGGCACTGGCCACGCAGTCAGGCCTGGTCCCCGGCACCCTCCTCAGCTCTGCCCCACGGCACGGAGGCACTGCTGACAGGACACGAGCCCTGGGCACGCACGATTCCAGTGGGATCGTGAGGACCGACACGGTGCCGTGGACCTTTCAGGCCGTAAGTTTTCTCACCTCTCCCAGCCATTGAAAACTGAACATTCTTACCTTGCAGACAGCACAGAGACAGGCAGGGAAGCAAAGCAGGCCCTAGGCTGCAGTCTGCCCTCCCTGAATGACATCACCAAAGTTACTCCCGCTGAAATACCTGTTGCCGTCCCCAAAGGTGTAACACCAGGCCGCTGCTGCAGGGGTGCACAGCCTGGACCCCACGACGGCTCTGTTGGTTTAGGGTCTCCTGGCTGAGGAGGGTGTCAGGAGTTTGCTTGCTGTCACCATATTTGGTACTTTAACCCTCCCAGTTACAGAAAAGTTCTAAAAATCCACACATGAAATTACTTGTAAGGAAAGCAAACTGTAATGCACATTGGCTTTTAAGAAATTCATCCTAAGGCTAAGGAAACAGCCGTTTCCCATTTATTGCTTCAGATTTTATATGTGATGTCACAATTGTTCCCAGTTCTAAAACAAGGAATATTGGAACGGTGTTAGTTTTTCCAGTGAACCGTAAGTGAATGTCCCATCAGGACACATTTAATTCTGGTGCGGAATGTCCTCCGGTGGGGTCTCTTATTGCTGCTTGTTTGATTGGGCAATTCTGCCCGCTGCGACACTGCTCCCTCCTGGGAGTCACGGACCCGTATGGAGAGGCTATGGCTAATCTGGATGAAGTTAAGGCAGCCCTGGGCAGCAGAGACGCTGCTGCTGCGAGCAGAGCAGGTGGCGAGGAGGATTCTGCTCAGTATACACGCTTCTTCTTCAAGTACGTCTCCACGTAGTGCTTGCCCATGCCCTGGGCGTGCTGGTCCACGCCGCCCCCTACGCCGCCCGCAGGGGCAGCAAGGAGGTAGGCTGCGCCACGCTTCTCAGTCCTGAGGGGGGGCACCTGTGAGAAGACGAAAGCTTGGGGTGAAAGGCTGAATCAGTCGGGGTGACATGATGTGCCTAAATTTCAGCACCATCACAGGATACCGAGAAGGTACAGCCAGCCAGTGAAAAGGGGGAAACAGAAGAGTTTGGAATACTACAAATCACCTGAAGAAAGTTTAGAAAAGTAAAGAGTGTCAGGAAAATGCAGTGGTGAGCAATAACAACCCATCCTCTCAGAGATTCAGAAGCCAGACACTGGAACTTAGGGAAAAAAAAAGGGAAGTAGGCCAGACACTGGAACTTAGGGAAAAAAAAAGGGAAGTAGATCCCTGGGAACCAGGAAAGATCCGACGGAATTAAAACCTACATGGAAATGGGAGAGACAACGCAGAGAAGACAAGAGTCCATCTGTTTCTCCCTGGTCCTGGCTTGTGGCTCACAGGAAAAGGAGACCAAACCCACAGAGAATAGTATAAGCTGGGCCTCAGTGAGCACTGTGGCTGCAGAAAGGGCTGGTTGGTGCTGTGAGCTGAGCTGCAGGAAGAGCGTGGGATTCTGCTCCCATGGGAGTCCTTCAACAGCCAGCAGCAGGTGAGTGACTCCAGTCGTGCACCTGCCATATCCCAGAGAGCGTGCTTGGTCAGGTGCCATTCCGGAAGAGGGCTGACTGAACCAGGGACGCGGAGCAGCCTAGATGACTGCACTGCAGAGATCCTGGTGTTAGGGTCCCACAGTGACTGGGTGAGAGGCAGCCATGGGAGATGGCCAGGCAGGGAGGCTTGGAAGAGGCCCCCGGGGGAGTGAGCTGAAGGACGCAGGTCCCAGCCCTGTGGTAGGTAGAGGCCAGGTCCAGCCCGAGCTGCTCTGGATTTGAAAGTCATAGCATTGGTGCCCTCACCCTGACCCCACTACTGCCTGCTAGTGCCTGCATCCGGCATGGGTCTGGGGTCTGACTGCCTTCTTTGCCAGTGTGAGCAGGAATGTTGACTTGGAAAGTGCCCAGAGTCATGGATCCCAGAAGAAAACCATACATTAAGAATCAGAGAAAATATTTTTGTGAGTGTTTTTCTTTTTTCTTTTTTATTTCTTCTTTCCTCTTCACCGGTTTACTGGGATTTGGGGGGTTTTTCCTTTTGTCCAATATGTTCCTCTTTTTCCCCTTTAATTTTTCTTATTTTTACTTTATGATTTCTTTTTTCCTTCCTTTTGTCTTCTATTTCTCATCTGTTACCTTTACCTAGTCCTATAAACTTCCTTCTACTCCCTTATAGGATTCTTTGCTCCTCATATAGTTTAAGGTTTCAAATTTTTCCTGTTGTACTCCTGTTCCCAACCCTTGTATCTTTAATTGTATAGCCCTAGAGCTTATCAGTCTTTGGATCGTTAACTATAAAATTACTGTTGAGTTTTCTGAGAGCTTTTGCATGTAGTACACATTAGCAGTAAGTCATTATGTGGGTTGTTTCTCACATGACATTTACACCATAACTGTAGATTTCTTCTAGGAGGGTTGAGGGCGGTACATGATTGGTTCTTAAGTATTTAATATCCATTTTATCTTCAACAATACTAGTGTATAGCTGATTTGCTTGGCATTACCAGGGTCACATACTTGTTGCTACTAATGGGTTTTCTCTATAAGCCAATACCCAGATTACGTTTGTGACATTAAAAGTACTGGAGTACATTCCCCAGAGAACTTGGTGTTACACCAGCTACTCCCCTCCCAAATTAACTGAGGTGGGCAGATAGTGGGGCAGAGGCAAAGACTCTAGTTAGGCGTGGCCAAAGTACATTACTGATGAGAGGCTTAAAAAGATGGCTCTACCAGCAACAAAGTTTTCATACTATGTCCCCAGATCACAGCCCAAAACAAAAACAAATGATAACTAAGACGAGGCAACAAAATGCCTCCCCAAATTCCCAGCTGCCCTGAAGCCAGTCCTGGGGGGCTTCAAAGAGAATAGCATAAGGTACACACCAAATTACTTGAAAACAGAGGAGGTTAGGAAACAGATAAAGATAGTGGGGGTCACAGAAGATCCAGATAAGCAAAACAGAAGTCATAACCAAAACAATCCAGGCGCTTACAAAAGACACTAATAAAAAGCTGAAAGAAACAAATTATACAAAACACGAATGACCAGTTTAGCAAAGAATTAAAAGTCTATGAAAAGATTTCAGTCAGGAATCCAGGAAACTGCACCAGGGACGTGGCTCAGGGGTGCCACCGCACCTGGCTTGCAAGCGCAAGGTCGGAGTTCGATTCCTGGTATTAAAAGTTGTATTCAAAGTATGGGCAGCAAAAGTGATCAATGTGAGGACAGAATTTTAGAACTAGACGACAAGGATGCTTCAAAGACCAACTGCTCAGACACAAAAGCAACGAGCACGTGAAAAATGGGTACCACTGCTGCTAGAGGGTGCAAAAACGACTGACTGGAATAAGGAGAAAATAAGACAGTACAAATGGCATAAATCTGCTCCAAATACGGGGAAAGAAACATACAGATAAGTGAGCCAGTAGAGCCCATACAGCCTCAAGCAAAAAAGAATGCCCCCCACCTTATACTGGACAGCAGACCATCACAGAGAAAACCGTAAAAGCCTTTAGAGAAAGGCAACAAATCACATATAAAGGTAAACCCATTAGAATTACAAAGACTTTGCAACACAAACCTTCAAGGTCAGGAGGGCTAGCTGTGCAATGTTTTAAGCCTTAAAAGATAATTTCCAACCCCAACTTATGTACCCTGTACCTCTCCTTCAAAACCGATGGAGAAACAAGGTATTTCCCTGACAAGGAGCACCGCAAGAAATTCGTGACCACCAAACCAGCATGCCAAAAAATTCTCATGGGTCCCGTAGAAACAGACACTGAAGCCACCAGTGCCAGTGAGTCAAAGTGAATGAACACACATGGTGGGAGGAACAGCTGGGCAAAGAAAAATAGGAAACCAGCACCAGGGAAACAATGTAATGACAGGGATAAGTCCGTACCTTTCAGTAGTAACTCTCCATGTGAATGGCCTCACTTCCCCAATCAAAAGACACAGATTGGCAGAATGGATCAAGAAAACCCAGTGATATGCAGTATATAAGAAGCATCTAATTCAAAAAATTCCACAGATTAAAAAATCAAAGGATAGAAAACAATATTCCACACAATGGGAAAAAGCAGGAGCAGCTGTCCTCACTGATGGGAACAGAGGGCACTGCATAGCAGTGAGGGGAACAATTCCATACACCAAATAGTGTGCCCACCTCTGTAAGTACTGACTGACCTGAAAAGGCAGATAAACACCAATCCTGTTGTAATGGGGAACCTCAAGACTCCATTGTCACAAACATCCACTAGACAACAAAAAGTTGAGTCAGACCTTCACAAATGGACTCAATAGTTGTCTACAGTGTGTTCCAACCAACAACAGGATGCTCATCCTCAGCAGTGCAAGGGACTTTCCCCAAAACAGACCACATACTAGCTCTAAAGCATGATTAGGTAAATGTAAAAAAAAAATCAAAATTATCCCATGTGTATTATCAGATCATAGTACAATGAAATGAGAAAACAATGACAAAAGAAACCACAAACTATACAAATGTATAAATTAAGCAGTGCCTTGACTAATCAATGAGTGACAGAAAATCTAGGAAGAAATTAGTTCTCACAATCAAATAGTGAGTGCTATGGGCTGGGGATTTAGCTCAGTGGTTCTGCTGCCTGCCTTGCAAGTGCAAGGACCTAAGTTTGATCCCTAGTACCAAAAGCAAAACAAAACAAAAATAGCGGCAGTATGATATGCCTGAAGCTATAGGACAAAAGCAGTCCTAGGAGGGAAATTTATAGCAGTGGATGCCTACGTCAGAAAAACAAAGCCCAAATAAATAACCTAATGCACCCGACGGTCCTAGAGAAACAAACACTTCAAATCCAAAGCTAGTGTAAGGAAACATTATAAAGATCAGAGCAGAAATTAATTAAATTGAGACAAAAAATTACAAAGAATCAGTGAATTGAGTTGGTTCTTTGAATCAACAAGAGACAACAAACCCTTAGCCAATTTTACTAAAATAAGGAAAGACTCAAATCCATGCAATTAGAGAGGCAAAATCACAATGCATTCTGCTAAAATCCAGTAAATCACTGGTAACTACTTTAAGAACCCTCATTCCTAGAGGAATATACAACCACCAAAGCTGAACTGAGAATATATAAAAATCCTAACCCCATATCAGCCAATGAAATTGAAAACAAAAAACAACAACAAAAAAGTACTCACTAAAAGCCTAGATCCAGGTAGATTTACTACCACAGTCTATAAGAACTTTAGAGAAGATCTAATACTAACTTCTCAAACCCTTTAATGAAACTGAAAGAGAAGCACTACTCCCAAAGTCATTCTTGGGAGCCAGTGTTACCCTGATTCTAAAACTGGAAAAGGACCTGACCAAAAAAAGAACTACAGGCCAATCTCTTTAATGAACATAGATGCAAAAATCCTCAATAACATACTGGCTAACAATGCAGTGAGTCATCAAAGAGATCACACACCATGACCAAGTGGGATTCATTCCAGGGTACAGGGGTGGCTTGACATACAAACCAGTACTGCAATTCGCCACATAAATAGAAGCAAAGACAAAACCATATGATCATCAGTAGGCACAGTAAAAACATTTGACAAAATCCAGCATCCATTCATGATAAAGACCCTCAAAAAATAATAGGTCTTCACCTCAATCTGAAAGTTACCTATGACAAACCAATGGCGAACAGGATATGAAACAGAAGCTAAAAGCTTTCCTTCTAAAATCAGGAACAAGACAAGGGTGTCTCCATAACCACTCCTGTTCAGTACAGCTCTTGGAAACACTTTCCAGACCAATTAGGCAAGGGAAAGAAATGAAGGGTTCATGGATAGAAAAAGTTTAATCATTATTTGCAAATGGCATGATCTTCTATATAGAAGACCCCAAAAACTCCACCAAAAGAGCCCTAGAATTGCCAGGGATTTAGCTCAGTGGCATTGTGTCCATCTCACAAGTACAAGGTCATGAGTTCAATCCCTGGTACTAAAAATACCCAAAACAAAAAAAGTCTGCCAGAATTAGTAACCAAATTCAGTAGCATAGCAGGATACAAAGTCAACACACTAAATAACATTCCTATACACCAATAATAAACTCCCAACAGAGAAATTAGGAAACGGTACCTTTTACAGTAGCATCAAGAAAAATGAAACACTTATGAATTTATGGGAGAAGTTCAAACCTGGCTGGGCCAGATGTGCCACACTGCTGTCTTCTAAGCAAACCTGAAGACCTCTCTGAGGCTGAGCAAGCTCGCCTAAGTGCGTAGACCTGGGTCTAACAGGCTACACCTCCACCCCTTGTCCGTGACTCCTTCGGCTCGCCCAAGAAGAATCACCCCACCATATGTCTAGCCAGTAAGATATCGCCCAATGTTCTCCACTAATGTATGAATCTGCATAACCTATAAGAAAGTGCCATGTATATAAATGCTCCTCTCCCGTGGTTGTCCACATGTAAGCTGTATAAGCCTGTGCATTTCCTAAATAAAGTAGAAGCGTTCCAGAAATCTCCCCGGAGTCTGCCTGGTGATTCCACACCTTGCCCTCCCAGTCCGAGCTCCCGAACCGAACTCCACAGGCCAAACAGCAGACGACAACATGAATTAACCTAACCAAGGAAGTGAAACACCTCTACAAAGAAACCACAGTACTTTGAAAAAGGAGATTGAAGTGGATATCAGAAAGTAGAAAGATATCTCCTGTTCTTGGATAGGCAGAATGAATGTAGTCAAAGTGGCCACCCTTCCAAAGTGTTAAACAGATTTAACACAAATACCAAAAGTATTCTTCACCAGAAATACAGAAAATTCACATGGAACCAGAAGAGGCAGAATACTGAGAGCAACCATAGGGAACAAGGGGAGGATAAGGGGCATCGCATTCCTGGACTTCAAGTTATATGCAAAGCTGCGGTGATAAAAACAGCATGGTATTTCCAAACACAAAAATAAAATGAAAGATCGTAGGTCAGTGGCGTGGAATAGAGGGTGCCGGAACACTGCAGGCACATTCAGCGACCTCACCTCACAGTCGACAGAGGGGCCGCCTCCCTTTGCTGGAGGAATGACTCTCTCTCTAACAAAGGTGCTGGGGAAACTGGCTCTCCATGGGCTGAAGATGAACCCAGAACCATTACCTCACCATGCACTAAACTAAAATCAAACTGTGGCAAAGATCTAAGCATCAGGAGAGAAACAAGCTGCAGGAAGATGAAATAGGTAAAACTTGACGCGGGTAGGCAAGGGCTTTCTAAACAGAACCCCAGTCACACAAATACCATCAGGAATCAACACACAGGATCCCATCAGATTAAAAGGCTTCTGCACAGTGAAGGTAGCTGCCAACGGGGTGAGGAGGCAGTCTGCACAATGGGAAAAAGGTTTTGGTGGCTCCTTGAAGGACTAATGTCTAGAATATGTAAAGAACAAAAAATTAGACCCCAATCCAAAATTGGGCATCTGGAATGAATAGATACTTAGATGAAGAAATACAAATGACCAATGAATACAGTGATACCTCAGTTCACAAACGCTTCTGTTTGCACACAACTGAGTTCTCAAGAGCGCTCAACAAAATTTTGCTTCTGTTCACAAACTCCACACTGGGTGCCAAACACAACTGCAGCCGTCTTCCCCATGCAAACACACAACACTGCCATCTTCCTCAAAACTAAAACCAGGGAAATCCGTGGGCCGGGTACCACCGTACACAACTCGTAGTTCATTACCCATATCAAAGGCTTGCGTTGCTGGGAATGTAGGGCGCCAGGGGCTTAGCTGTAGAGCTGTTAAAGTAAGAGTAAATAAATGCTGTCACTGCAGTGCAGTGCATGCAGCAAGCGTTAAAACAACCCACAGATTATTGGCTCCTTTTTCTTAGCCCTCTTCCCCCATTCCGGCAGAGGGGACAGAAGGAATTCTGATACAGCACCACCTTCCTCTAGCTCCCTCACTCCATTTGTAACATTAGCTAAGATTACTAAGAGCGCGAGGGAGAACACACCTCGCTCCAAGGCCAAGCCGGACTGGAATGGTGGCAGGGACTGGCCCGGGGGCAGAGGCTTCCTTCGTGTGGGCCTGAAAGGTCTGGGCGCCAGGACAGAAACCAGCTTAGCGCGGGGCTCTGCGAGGCGAAACTGCGGGGACAAACAGGACCGACTGGAACAGAGAGCCACTCCAGAAAGTTTCTGAATCTTCAATACACATGTCACTAAATTTTTTAAAATGTACGATGCTCATTTATAAAAGTAAATTTTGTTCTTTATAAAATAAAAATTGAAATTGTGTAGGAGGATATTTTGTAAATAAGAATAGATTATAAAAAAATGACCATGTGTTTACACACTGCCCTACACGATTTTTACCTTTGCATTCTAGCTCCTGGTGTAAATATGATGGTTTGTGCGCCGAGTCTTACGGAAATTTTGGTTGTTTCTGGTATTTGCACCTAGACATTATTCATGAACGATTTCACAGATCTCCGATAATACCCTGACCTTTGACATTCCCTAAGTACAACTCACGGGCCGTGGGAGGTGAGAGGAGGCCCTGTCCTCGCAGACGGCTCAGAGCTGCGAGCTGCTTTCTAGCACACGCGCCCAGCGGGACTTGACCCCTGCCTGCCCGGGCGGGCTCGCAGCGCCACGCGCTCTTCTGCCGCCGGAGGAGGGCTGGAGTAGGGCTGGAGAGGGGCCTGGCCG